TCAATACCTTTACCTACTACAAAATGGTGGTACATTTAATAATTACCTGAATACATGACATTTAACTTGATAATTCGAATAAATACGTTGAGATCAGTTTAGAAGATGCTGGAAATGGTTGCCTTGAACTTCTTGACACAATAACAGCCGGTCCGTAATTTCGCGTCGAACATTTTCAAACATAGTAACATCGATATTTCTACAAGTATTTGTTATTCTCAGCCGTATATTCAATATTGAAGCAGGATCAGTTTCGTACACCTTTTGCTTCAAATAGCCTCATAAAAAAAAGTCTAAAGCTGTCAAATCTGGCGAGCGAACTGGCCATTCCACAGGACCTCGACGGCCAATCCAACGAACGGGGAAATTGTTATCTAAATAATTCCTCACTTGTCTGTAGTAGTGTGGTGGAGCACCATCTTGCTGGAAATCAATATCAGTATCGAATTCATTAGGATTCGCTTCGACGATTTCGGCTGAGAGTAACAAATACTTGTAGAAATACCGATGTTACTATGTTTGAAAAATTACGAACTGGCTGTTATTGAGTCAAGAAGGTCAAGGCAAACATTTCCAGCATCGTCTAAACTGAACTCAACGTATTTATTCGAATTATCAAGTTAAATGTCAATGGCTTCGTTCCAACAAACCTGTGTACCGTACAGTGAACCGTCATGAGGATGCGCAGTACGTTTTTAGTGTCACTTAAAACGTACTGCGCACGCTCATTATGATTCACTGTACGGTACAAGGCTTTGTTGGAACGAAGCCATTGTATTCAGGTAATTATTAAATGTACCACCATTTTGTAGTAGGTAAAGGTATTGACTTTATATTCTAGGGTTATAAAGTACTCGTCAGAAGCTTCAAAATGATGTGCCACAAGACCCCCGTTTTGATATACTTTTTTTCCAAGATGGCCATCTTGACATTTTCATCTGTCAATTTTACTCTGAAATATGGTATCCACGCATCAATTTCATTACCTCAAGTTTTAATTTTTTGAATTGATCCGTTCAAAAAACCCAAGGCGAGGGGGACATTAAAGGAAAGCACTGTATAATACAGTAGCCATCCTTGTGCTAATGGACTAATGTAGTAGATTAGTCGTTAGGTTAAGGACGTCAGTCAAAGCCATCGACTGATGTTATAGGTCAATCCGTTGATCAACGTCATGGATCAGCGTGATTGGATAAGTCATTAGTCAGTGGCATGGACTAATTTAGTAGATTAGATCGTTAGTCAAGGTCACCGACTAGCGATATAGGTTAATGATGTCAGTCAATGTCATCGACTGATGTTATAGGTCAATCCGCTGGTCAGTCATGATTGGATAAGTAAGCCATTAGTCAATGTCATGGACTAATGTAGTAGATTAAATCGTTAGTTAAGGTCACCAACTAGCAATATAGGTTAAGGATATCAGTCAAGGTCATCGACTGGTGTTATAGGTCAATCCGATGGTCAACGTCATGGATCAGCGTGATTGGATAAGTAGCTCATTAGTCAATCACATGGACTAATGTAGTAGATTAGATGGTTCGTCAAGGTCACCGACTAGCGATATATGTTAAGGACGTCAGTTAAGGTCATCGACTAATGTTATAGGTCAATCCGTTGAACAACGTCATGGATCAGCGTGATTGGATAAGTAAGTCATTGGTCAGTGTCTTGGACTAATGTAGTAGATTAGATCGTTAGTCAAGGTCACCGACTAGCAATGTAGGATAAGGACGTCAGTCAAGGTCATCGACTGATGTTATAGGTCAATCCGTTGGTCTACGTCATGGATCAGCGTGAGTGGATAAGTAATTCATTAGACAGTGTCATGGACTAATGTAGTAGATTAGTTCGTTAGTCAAGGTCACCGACTAGCGATATAGGTTAAGGCTCAGCGTGATTGGATAAGTAAGTCATCAGTCAGTGTGATTGACTAATGTGATAGATTGGATGGTTAGTCAAGGTCATGGACTAGCGATATACGCTAAGGACTTCAGTCAGTGTCATGAACTGATGTTTTGGATAAAGATACTATCCAGCAATAATGTAGCGAAATTAAGGAATATTTTGGTCATTGGCTTAGATACAAAAGTTATTCTTTATGTGAACTCACTGCAGTTTATTGTATTATTGATATATGCCAAATCTTAATATTCATTTACTTAGGGTGGATTTCACAATTTAACAAACCATTATTCTGCACTGCACCAATAGGGTACGAGTACCAAACAGTCCGTTAAATATACCCAATCAGCCTCAAGATCTCTCCGTCAAATTTTTGGCAGCAAATCGCATCAAGGTATTCAAAACAAAACACTGTAAAATATGAAGTGACAGCTAGCCATTGAAATCTTTTCAGTTTATTAAATATTATGAAATTATGTAAAACTGAGCCAAAATTTTTAAAAATGCTTGATGTCCGAGTAAAATCTATTTTTTCAGATTAGCTGAAGGTTTTTTAATGTTTACTGCATTTTTTGTAATCCATATGTGATTATATCACCTACTGTGTGCTTATAGTTTATCCTATATTTGCAAACTTGCACCCTTACATGAAAAAGCCTTTTCACTCAAATTTTTGTTAGGTTTCAACACATTCATACACTTCTTTCCAGTTCCTCAACGATATTTTAACCCCACTGGTCCGAAACTGAACAGTTTCAACATTGATACATACAATTGCAGTTGCAGTGTTTTGTTTTAATTTCAGTGTATAATCTGTCGCACCATCGGTGATGGTACATTCAACATAACCACGTATTTAGGGGTTCGTGCAGATTTAACGTGTACACGACAGTGTAATATGTATTTCTTCACAAAAAAATCTTGGAGGGAGCACTTTTATACGGAAATTTGTTGTTAAAAAATTCCATTTTTCACACATAACAAAACATGTGATCACAAAACATAGAACACAGTGACGTTCGAGAAGGAGAATAGACCAAAGGAGATCGGAATTGACATTTGAAATTAGTGTCTCATAATGTTAGTGATGGGAGAACACATTTGCGATCAGTGGAATGTATTGGAACGGTTAAAAAATATGAATTGATTCGTTTTTACGTTATCTCGACTGAAAGACTGGAATATCTGCTCTGTTTCTGTATATATATTTTTTGTGGTATTGTTGCATAAAGTAGTTGGTTCATGAACTAGTTCCTAGAACTGAACGCAACTTAATGAAACGAACTGCAAAGCACATAACTTTTTCAAGTAATCCAAGAAGGGTCAAATTGTCATTTCATCACAATAGTGATGGGAGAATCGAAAGCCTGAGATTCGCTTTGCTTCTGTGGCTCAGCGACATAGTGTTTTCTTCTGATAAAACTAGCGCAGTTTTTGTGTTTAAAATACTCTACTTTAGTTAATACCTTTGATCCTAAAGTTGCTCCCATAACAATATTAAACAACTCTCATGTCGTGTCGCGTATTTCGAAACGATGTCAAGGGCCGGCAGGGGAAAATCTTTCTCTGAGAACTGAAAATCATTAAACGCGCTGTTTTCAGTCTATTTTATTCTATCCCTTGGGGACGTACAGATTGAAGAAAAGACGACAGTGCTCAGTGGCCACTCAGTGGCTCAGTGCTCGTCTGTAATGATAATATTCAAATACTACTAAACACCTAAATAGCTTTCTGGCCTTTCAATTTCGAAGCTACCAGTCCTCGCTTAGAGATGGTAGCGCACAGTTAAGGATAGACTCGGGGTATACGGTTACGGATGTTTATGATTCCTCTCGATATCGATATATCGTCATGAAACCATCGATGCGTAAAGATCGATGTTCTACGTCCGATGTATCGATGTTTTCGATACATCAATGTATCGTCTATCGTCACCATCCCTGTATTGTATCCCCACCAGTCACCAGTCAAAAACCTTAACCTCCAATATTTTATCTATTTATAATTCTTTTTGGCTCTTATTTTTCAGTAATTACTAATAATTTTAGGTCTATGTCTACAGTAATTGCATTATGCACCTCGGAGATGTAGGGATTAACATGTTTTACACATATCGGTGTTTTAGGATGGGGACGACATACTGTTTTGATTGCTTTGAAGAAATTCGTTACCCCATGAATTTATAACAAATGTACTATTATGATGTAAAGAGAGATGAGGAATTGTTGGAATACATTTTATATTCTATTTTCTTGCAAATCCGCACAATTCAACAGGTACGTGTAGCTATAATGATCACATATACACACAGTATATTGGACTTAACAAATTTCGAGATTGCCATGAATTAACAAACGACCAAACCTGCTGCCAAATTTAACAGCTAGAAAATCGACCTATTATTTCTCCCATTCCCATTCGCTGAGGGGATAACGGATGATCAAATGTACACCTATAACATAAATCAAAATTCATGAAATTTGTCCTGTTTTCTCTGTACAAAAGCATCATGTTGGAATCAAAAAGTGGTCTTGTTTATAATACAGTCGAATTTTCACGATTTTATTCAACATTTTAATAGAAATCACTGATATTCTGAGACCTTTGACAGCTTCCGTCAAGTTGCATTTACATAAGGAATTTTACTATTGGTCCATAATAATAATGTTGGTGAAATCGGCCCTTAATCCTGTATGTCGAGTGTAAACTTTCACCTTTGTTGTTACTTTGTATGTCTTAATATATGTACTAAAACGAGAGGACTCGTTTATGGAAGGATGGCCGAGCTGTAAACTAACTCAAGGGTACGTATTCTTGCTCATATACAATGCTCACTAATTCGGATCAGTTGTCGTGGAGATGAATGTTGTTATCGCTCGGACAGCCCGTCATAAATATTTGTCATCGAAGTTTATATAAAAGAATAACTGTAAATGTTTAACAATAAATACGTTGTATTGGAAGATTGATCTTACATATCATATTTCAATCAGCAGACTGGTCTAACATAAAGCCGACACCCTAACAACAACAACAATCTAAAATCCAGCATGCGGTTAATTCATAGAGGCAATTTTGAATACTGATATACTCACGTCGGAATTGTGGTGGTCCCATTCTCTGTGGAGGCATCATCATTGACTCTTCATCTGGGACGAGGAATTTACGCAGTTCTGCTAATGCATATGCTATACGAGCATGTGCTTCGGCGGGCGGACTTATAGTTGACACTTCCACATGCAAGGCCTCTGACAAGTGTCTGAAAATAGATAGTATGTTATTCAGGGTATCCAGAAAGTAAATGATAATCCTGCAGCTGCAAATAGGTAACTTAGGCCTGATTTTAATAAGCGCGTGGAACACAAATTCATCCAATAAGAAGGCGTCTTCGAGGTTATATATCTAATGACTGTGCTCGATTTCTTGTAAAATGCCTCTCAAACAACAGAACAATTATGCGGTTTTTGTAAGATGGGCCCCTAATTCCCATATTAAATCAAGAAATACGTCACAAATCACTTGGATAAGATACAATAACTTATTTTTTCATTTTCGTCCGAACACTAAATAAGCGGCCATGATCAGATAATGCGCCATACTCAAAGCATGGATATAAACCTGATACAATATCTGGATTGATGTGACTGCAATCAAAATTTGTATTTTATTGAAAATAAAAGTATCTCACTGTTGCTGTGCAAAATTCTGCTTGATAAATTATTTACGGACATCAATAAATTTACAGAATGCTGATTATCTAACAAACATGGAGTAAATAATCAATTTACTTCCTGTTAAAAGGAACATGTCGCTCACTCTACTGGACCGTAGAACGACTACACATGCATACGGATGTCAGCTGGTCATGTAGTCGTTCTACCGTCCAGTAGAGTGAGCAACATGTGAATGATGTACTCGATGTTTGTTACAGAATAAGCATTCTGTAATTTTATCTGTCTTTTCAAAGAATTTATCAAGCAGAGCTTTGTACAGCAACAGTGGAGACTGTTATTTTCAATAAAATGCTCAGTAATAGCGTCATATCAATCTATTGTATCAGAATAAACAAGACATCTATCACACAAGAAACAACACTCCGGATAGCGCTTAGTTGGAACTGTTAGGAATATCAGCTCGCAGAATAGCAAAGTCACCCCGTGGTCGCTATATGGCTAAACACGATGCTTTCGTCCGTCAGACCAAAAAAAACACCCAACCATGGACAGCTGTTTCGTGCTTCTTGGTTACTTATCATCATGGTATTTTGTCCCTGGACGAAAGCATCGCAACTATCCTCCATATCAGAGGTACGGTCTATCGAAATAAGACAGCGCAAAGCGCCACCTATCACACCAGAATCGACCACTGCGGTAAGCGCAATGCTGCAATTAGTTGGAACTGTTAGGATCACGGCTCGCAGAATAGAAAAGTTACCACGTGGCCGCTAGATGGCTGTACAGTAGATGTCGTCTACTTGCCATTGAACAAACCAAACATGATGCTTTAGTTCGTCCGACCAAAAAGACAGCCAACCAAGGACAGCTGTTTCATGCTTCTTGGCTACTCATCAGCATGGTCTAGGCTTGGTCTTTTGTATACCAATATACTACCTTGAAGGCACTAAATAGTTTTCTGTAAATGTTGTATATTGAAATAATATTTATATTTTATAGACGAGAACAAAAAATGTCAGGTTTATAAATACCGCATAACTTTTTTAATTCTCAATAGGTCCGAGTGTCAATTTGAGAATATACTTAATAATAGTCCCTGAAAAGGTTGCGCCTACCCAGATAATATCATGTGGTACAGGTAAGAGTAGAAAAATCCAAGAAGATACAGAAAAAAACCTGCGGATTGGAGTCAAAAACAGTACCCTCGATAATGCATTCCGAATAATTACCGCGTTTGACAAGCAGCAACTGTCCCTTGTGTCGCACAGCGGGAAAGTATTAACCTAGCAACCTGAAGGTACCGGGTGCGATGTCTACAGCACATAACTTATTTTCCATTTCTTTCACACTCCCTTTTTTTTACACCGAAGCAGCCGGCCTACGCGGCCTAAGTGTTAGGACACCGCGGCTGCTATGAGGATCTCAAAGAAGTTTTGTTAATCCGATTTTTGAACTGCTTAAGGTTAGTAGAACTGGGAAAAGCTTCCTCTTGTAATTTGTTCCACAATCTCGACACCCTCAGGACAAAGGAGATGTCGTAAAGCCCGTTGGTGTAGCGGTAGAAGAGAGCTAGATCGCCGACGGCCCGTCGGCGTGAAAGGGTCCCGAGTCTGTCTGGTTGAGAGGAGCCATCGATCTGGACAGCATCAGGCATAAATAATGGAGTCGGGGCGACAACACCTCAAACGTGTGAGCAACACTCGAGGCTAGATCTTATCTGGGTCTTGTATAAAGTGAGAAGGTCATGCGGAGAAAAGTACTTCTAAGCCCTAAACAAATAACTGAGGTAGGATTGCAAAATGCATCCGCGGATAGACCCTTTCCTAGCTATATTGACCCGCCCCTTGTTACACAAAGCGCTGATTATCAAATTGGATACGAGGGGCACGCTGTATATTTTGAGATGCGCATTAGCTATATAGTGAAAACCGGTAACAGGCACTATTAGAAAAAGCAGTCCTTTATTAGTAAGTCGCCGCATTCAGTTCATTTGCGAGCGTCTTACAGTGCATGTGGTGCAAACAAATTTAAGAGGAAACATGGAGTCTCGAGAGAGTTATCACGCTATGATTTACCATGAGCTAAAAGTCGGTTTAACTGAACATCAATGAATCGAACGGTTACAACAGGCATTTGGTAATGAAGCTCCGTCCCGTGCAAGTGTGTTTCGCTGGAATGTCGAATCTATAAGAGGGGGTATTTCATTGGCTGACGAAGAACGTAGTGGTAGGCCATGTTCTAGTGTGACTCCAGAAAACATTGCTAAAGTTCAGCAGCTAATTGAAGAAGATCTCGCTTCACATATGCGACATTTTGCATGAACATCTTCATTCAAAAAAAGTTGTTGCAGAGGTACAATCATGCATCACGGCAATGCCTTTAGCCACACTGCCCAACCATCTGTAGACTTTTTACGCCAGCGCCACATCAAAATGCTAGAACATCCGCCTTATTCGCCAGATGTGTGACTTCTAGCTCTTCAAGAATTTGAAAAAAAAATCTGCGTGGTCGAAGAGGAAACCGATCAAGCAATTGATCAGTTTGATGAAGGCAATCCAAAAACTAACTGGCTAGAAGCATTTCATTTGTGGAAGGTCAGGTTACAGAAGAGCATTGATGCTGGAGGAGAATACCTTAAACATAAATAAACTAGTTTTCGAAAAATGTTTTTAGTTTTCGTGGATCTTAAAATATATATCGTGGCCCTCGTATAAAACAAAAGAAAAAATCTGAGGTTTCACGTAGTGCGACCGTACAAGTGATAAAGAAGGGAGAAGAAAAAGGGACAATTCCGTTCCTCTTTAGAGCAGAACACTCAAGTTCATTTAGCGGGTGCGGAAGAACGAGTTTTGGTAGTCCGGAAATGCATGCCACAGAAAACGGAGTTAAAGCTGACTGCTGGAGAGATTGAGGGAGTTATACTTAAGAAGAAACAAAAGCCAGTGGTATAAGACCTCGTGGATAATTTAGAAAGGCACAGATACAAGTTGGCATGGTTAAATATAATAGTCAATACTAGCCAGAATATAGTACAAGGAAAAAAATAAGGTAAGTCTTTTTTTCTCTTATACCATCGGACCACATGCATTAATGCATGTCCTGAAGAAGTTTGTTCAATATCTGCTTTCTTTTGGTGGGAGATATTACGGAGAGCCACCATATACTCCTCCAGCTTGGGTTGTAGCTGCTTTGCGGCCGGAATTGCTGGAATACCCCTTCCCTTTTTGTAAAACAAAGTCTGCTGTGAACAGGTAAAACAGCATTTTGATTAACCATTTTGTAGATATTACTCATATATTGATTATTGCTGACTGAATGTCTTAAGGTTTACTTGATTTTGTTTGGCATTTTACGTATTTAAATATGGGGCAGTACCTACATGGCACCTTCTATTGGGCATTACATTACGTTGATCATGGTCTTGATTTTTGAGCTGACATAACTTTATTTTAGGACAAGGGATACATTTCTGAGGGTATATCACTTTAGTACATTTTTATATATTTTTTTTACCTTTGCTATACTTTTCTTGTAATCAGTACGTTTGTATGAGACAGAGAGTAGAGAGTGGATTTTTGTTACTAACAGTCTTTCTCTCAGTAGGTTTTTTTTACAGCCATACCGTAAATTTTGAACCCGAGGCAAGCAACCTCGTGACATGCCCACTACTGGCTTCCTTTTTTTTTGTTCTTTTTGACCTGGGATACATCTCGGCTGCGCCTAGCCATAACTGGGAGAAGACTTCCGCCCAGATAAGTGTAGTTTAGGCGTAAAACATACAGGGTGGCGCATCGAAAACGAAACAGACGCATAGCTCAGTTTTTTTTTTGGAAAAACGCTCAGACCCGTCGATTTTGTTTTCGAGGGGGACACAAGTTTGGCAAAAAATCACGTTAACACGTGCAGCCCCCTGGGCGGGGGTGACATCAACCCTAAAATCCTATATGGAAAGGGGGGTCGAGTGATACCTTATTTTAAAGGTCTTTCAATTCCCTTTATAATGATGTAAAATACATGAGCTTCAGTTCAGTAGTTTTGCAGATTTATTGATTTAAAGCTGAAAGTAGACTTTAATAGGTACATCAGATTAGTTTGTACTACTTTCAGAAGAAATTTGACTAAAAGAATTTCTTAATAAATGCTTTTTTTCACTGTTATCGCTGTGGTGCACCAAATGTAACTATGAGGACTTGTCCCAATTGTAGTAGTTCGGGAAACGAGTTCCGGACGAATCGTTAGGTCGTGCTATTTCCTCCCATTCAATACCTTTAGCGGCCCACACCCTTGATTTTCAAAACAAAATTCTCCTCGATCATGTTCTTTCGCATGCCCATGGAGATCAACGTCCTTATCTCAAAATCGGTATAATGGGTTATTCCATGTTGGGTTTACTTGATTCTGGTGCTAGTCGTACATTGGTTGGATTACCAGGTTATCAAATACTTTTTAGCTTGGGTCTTAAGTTATTCAAACAACACAGTGCATGTACTGTGGCGAATGGTCAAGTGTGTCATAGTATAGGTTACATCCAAACTCCGATAACCTTAATAAGCCGGACGCATATTATCGATGTGGTTGTGCTCCC